GTCTCTCTTCCTTTGGACAAAACATATATTCTATCCATCATCTTGTACATTTTCTCTTTTATCTCTCTTATCTCAGTGTGCTCTTCGTCAGACATATGATCTTTATGTGTGCAACTCTCCACTGTTTTCGAAGCTTTTCAGGATGCCATTTCTTGACTGTGTTATAGTCTGTTTGATCACGAAGCCCCTTGTTCGTCATGAAAACCTTTTACTATGATGACCACTCACAAATCAACACCTTTTGATTATGTCATGATCATGCAATGCAGACAAAGAGAAAAACAACATAAAAAACAGGTTAGTACAAATAAGATAACAAAAGGACAAAAAGCAACAATAACAAAATAAATTAATTAATTCTAATAAGAATGCAAATACAAATGCAAATACGCAAGGTGTTAATTCCAAAAGTGACCACCATATAACAACCTTCATTTAGACAACAAGAATTCAGTACACCATGTAGTTAAAATATAAATTTGATTCTTCATTTCTTCATTTCCTTGAGTCGTACTCTTCATGGAATCTAATATTGCACCCAAAGTTGTCGACTTACTTTATCACCTTTGATGACGCCAAATGTCCTTAAATTGAATCTTGAGGTCTCCATTTTACTTTCAATACAAAGTGATCTTCATGTCTTTTTGAAGGGTCTTCTTTTCCTTGGTATAACTGTATCTATCTTCTGAGGGAATATCTTGGCCTTCACTCCTTTAAAGGAAGTCTTCAATCAGGTTCAGATTTCTTCATTAATCGGATGTCCTTCATGGATCATTTGAACATCTTTGGATCTCTCGATTTTGACTACATGGTTGAGAATTTCTTGTCTCAATATGTCCAACCTTCTTATAAGTCAATCACTTATGAATTAACACCTTTAGATGACATGAAGATGCAAATGCAATCAAATCAAAATAAAATAGACATAGAACAAAAATGAATTAGTGCACATAATATCAACAACAAAATAATAAGTATCATAATCATTAAATAAAACCTACCCTCACATGTTGGCTACCCAATCATGTTTTAGTAGATCCTACCCAACATGATATCTACCCCCATGCTTTGTTTGAACATTAAAACCCTAACCGCATAATATCTAATTCACATGCTTGCTTGACAAATAAACCTAACCGCATGATTTCTAGTTCGTATGCATTTATTCAAAAAGTGAAAATAAATGACTCAAAAAGCTTTTCCTTGTGTACCCTTCTCACGAGACTCTTAAGGTTCGGGTTAGGCTCGACCTAAGTTCGGGCTCTATGTTCACTATATGCTGGGTTCGGTTCTAAAGTAATAGGTTCTCGAATTGTCCTTGCCAGTGCCCCCTTGGGCTACCGAACCCTCAATCCTGGCCCATCACAGGCTTTAGGGGATCGAGTTCAATTTCGAGGGAACACACCTCCTTATGTCCATGCGGAGGTGATTACCATCACGAGGACCATAAGGCGTGAGCTCCAGGAGTGATCCACTATCCTATGCGGAGGTGAAAACCACACGAGGGCATAGTCTCTCACTCCTACTTAATTAGGACGGAGCGAGGTTTTAGCTCATGTCATGAAAATGCAGTTGTGCAGTGTGTGAGGAAAAGCAAAAAAAAAAACAAACAATAAAAACACTCAAAATCAATTCCCAAAACACACAATTATTCTGAAACCATTAGCAAACATATCAGTACAACTATTTATTAGTTAATCGAATTAAATTAAAAAAACAAAATACAAAAAAAACCAAACAAAGGATCAAAAACAAAATTAAAACGAATTTATAATTTTCAATTGCAAAGACAATTAATTAATCGACCATCGGCCTGACTCTCTAAAAAAAAACTCCCTAGTGGAATCATCAAGCTGTCGAAACGATTTTTTCTTAAAAGGTGAAAAAAGGTGAGATTTTGAAAACCACATCAAATTTTGAATTATCTCTTTTTTTTATTTAAAAACAAATGCGATTTAAAAACCTTTCGTTTCGAAAAAATTTGGATTTCCTTTACGATCGAAAAAATACGGTTCAAAGAGTCGCCACCAATCTTTGATTAGGGTGTGATTGGGCACCCAAAAATGTTTGTTATTTTAAATAAAAATTAATTTTAATTAAAATAACAAATTAAGGTCTGCGTTACCAAAATCCGAGTTCGGAAGTCGGTTACGTGCGGGGAAGGATTAGCACCCCCACAACGCCCTAAATTGGTACCTAACTGATTAATTAACGTCTTTGCAATGGACTTTACAAATTCAAATTTAATTTGACTTTTAATCCCATAAAACAACAAATATGAATTTTACAATATTCAAAAGCACTCAAATAAATTAAATTAAAATTACCAAGTCGTTTTAGAAAGATAAAGAATGTTCGATTATTTACAAATATCGAGACCAGATCTTAAAAGCTATAACAACCTTTTCTCGATAAATTTAAATAAACGAACATTTCCTTTTCTTTCGTTCCCAAATTTTAGGTGACGAATCAATTTTTTGGTTTCACTTTCGGGATACACTTTTAATTTAAAATCGTCAAAACGACCCTCTAATCAGTTAAGACAGGCCACTCAGGACAATTTTAAATTAAAAGGGTATTACCCTTAGTCCGATTATGTATTTATGTCGAGTTGTGCAAATGAGGTTACCATGCGAATTGTGCAAAAAAAATGTCTTGCCAAAATTAATTAAACAAAATTAAAAAAATATCATACAACGTGACATACAAAAAAATTATATATGTATATTTTAATTTAAAAAAATCATAAATTATGCATATTAACATAAAATGTACAAATGTGACTTAAATACAAGAATAAATACATAACATGCCAAACTAATTTTTTTTTTAAAAAGTATATACATATTAGAATTAGGACTAAATCATATTAAACAGAATTTTACTATCTAAAATGCAAACAAAATGACAATTAAGGCATAAATACGAATATATCATACTGAGTACTAAAAATTATTACAAAGGATTAAATCCAGAATAAACCCAATATATACATGACCAAAAAGTAACATGTAAAAATTAAATGGTCCAATGTCTAAAACAGTAGAAAAAAATAAGGAAATTAACACTAGGACTAAAATTAAATGCGCATAAAATAAATAGATAAAAACAAACCCTGATTTATGGACCAAAATAAATTACAAAGAACATACCATGACCTGAAACTAAATAACCCAAAACATTATAACTACAAGCAAATTTTGGAAAATAATTAAATTGAGACAAGCACAAACATATAAATTAAAGAGCAGTCCTCCAGTGACTAGAGTAAAAATACGCGGCTAAAGTGTAAGGGTATGAGGGAAATTTAGCCTAATTCTAGCATATAAAATCCTAATTATAACCTAAACCTAAACTCATTTTGAACCTCACGGCCGTTCTCTCTTCTCCACTACTTTCTTTCTATGTTTCGCTTCAAAAATACAACAATGGCTATTGTAAAATAATCAAAAGCTTATTATTTTTTAATCTTGAAATCTCCTTATTTTATTTCTAATTTTCGTATGGGATTGGTTGCTGTAATAAAAAAAACTATGTATTACTCCCTGTATATTACTTTAACAAGAAAACGGAGTTACCTGCGATGACGAAGGGATGGCTTCACTGGAAGATGGTAGCGCTTATCCGATGAAAAGGTAAGAAATTTTATATGATTTCTTTGATTCTCTGGTTGTCTTTTTCATTTGTTTCGACAAGAATCCCATACACACGCTCCAAACATACTCCTAAATGCTTTCCTTTTTCTAGATTGTTCCTGGTCAATGTTCTCTGTGTTTGTGTTGTTTTTGCTTATAATCTATTTGATTGGTTACTACTTGGTCATTTTTGAAATTAAAAATGTTTGATGCTTGATTTTTGAAAAAATAAAGGAAAATGAGGAGAAAAGCTTTGTATTGTTCTCTGTGTAAAAACGAAAAAGAAGGCCTCTGCCCTTTTTGTATTTCCAATCTCCCCTAGAAAAAACATTATTATTTTTTAGAATGAATCCCTAATCTCTCTTATTGCTTTCCAGTAACTCCCATCCGAACCCCCTACAAAACTGTTTTTCCTCTTTATCATCCCACTTACAAAACTGTTTTTAATGCAGTTTTCCATAACTCCCCACGATGATGAATTCATCCTTATTTGTTGCCTCAAAACGATTGCACGGTTAGATAGCTGACTTACGGGACTCGGACAAATCGAGCATCTATACAAATAGCAGAAAATAAATTATGTATAACACCAATAATGAGATGCTATTACTGTTTTTCAACCGTTACTGGAAAAAAAAAGAACGTAAAAAAGCTCTTAAACTCTAAAAAAATAGAGAGCACATCGGGCAAGACTCACCATTCACCAAGGCAAAGATCAAACCGAGAAGTGGATAAGTCGGCAAAACAAAGCTATTTTAGGGGAAATTTTAAGTCTGTTAAGCTTCGTCACCGGTGAAGAAGTGGAGCAACAAACGGAATGGGCTTCGGCTTCTATTTGAGAAGGTAAAAAAATCAAGAAAAGCAAAAGTTTTTGATTAATTATCTAGAAAAAAAATACCTAGATCTAAGTTTAGAAGGAAAATGATGATTTTTTTCAACTACCGTGTTTATTGTCACACTGTGGCCACCACCGATAAATATGGGATCAAATTAACAGTCAAGTGATCAAACTGAATAGATTGTTAATGTAAGGGATCAAATGTACTTAATTTTTGAACCGGTGATCAAATTTGGTCATACCAAAAACAAAGATGACCATTCGTACATTTTACCCTTTAAAATTTGATGACCAAAAGACCAGAATAAATTATGTTTTTTTTATTAAAATGAATATATTTTTTTTAGAATTCTTTTTAGATTTATAATTAGAAAATATGTTAAAGGAAAGTTTCACCTATCGACGAAGTGACCACTATGTGATTTATCAATAATTGTAATGACTAAAATGTAACATTTGAAATTTTATTAAAAATGGCTACAAACATTAGTGACTCTGTAATTTTAGCTCATCTAAAATGTTCTTGAAGGCCAAAATCTCTGCGGCAAAATTTATAAAACTGAAAAACAGTAAACCGGGAAGCATCGAAGACAGATTCATAGAGAACACAAAAAGCTGAAAAAGGAAGAGGACAGAAGTAGCCATGAAATTATTTGATACTCATTGCCACCTTCAAGATCCCAGAATTCTCAACAAAGCACCCAAACTCATCTCCACGGCTTTGGATTCTGGGGTCCTTAATTTTGCTGTTAATGGAGTTCACGAGGTCGCTGCTTTGCTTTTGCATCAATTATTTTTCTTTGAATTTCTCAATCAATTTCGTATTTCATTTGATATTAAGCTTGGGGTTTTCTTGGAAAGTGTAGAAAGATTGGCATTTGGTAAAAGAAATGGGCGAGACGTATTCATGTGTTATTCCTTGCTTTGGATTTCATCCTTGGTAAAACAAATTAGATACTTGAATATAGCTTTCAAGCTCTTTTTAGGGATTTTTTTTTTGCTGTGTTCATCTGTTGCAGGTATGTTGCTCAGAGAAGTCCAAATTGGTTCAGTACTCTCAAGGAATTCTTTGAGACCACTCCTTCTGCAGCTGTTGGAGAGGTAAATTTCTTTAATTTTGCACTAATTTTTGACTTAATTTCATAAATCTAACCAAGGGGATTTCGTAATTATTTGTTTCATGATTTTGTTTATTTAAGGTTACCTCTCATAACAGCATGTTTTTGACCTTTCAGATTGGTTTGGACAAAGGTTCAAAAGGAAGGGAGATTGATTTTAATGATCAGGTTCTGACTGTTTCTTTCTATCTTGATTGTCGTTTATTTTGCACTACTTATGTCTACATGTTTCTGGAGCTCACTGAAGAGTCGAAAAAACGAGCATTTTCTTTGGTACCATTACTTGGTGTAAATGCATGTAGATTAGGCATTTCCTAAAAGTTTTCTGAAATTTTAAGTTCTGCATTCCAGGTTGAAGTATTTCGGCAACAGCTAGAGCTTGCAAAAGAGTTGAAAAAACCGGCATCGGTCCATTGTGTTCGTGCATATGGTGATCTTCTTCAGATAGTGAAGTATGTCGTTCTCCACATTTTTTATGGAAAGATTTTATCTTAAACAAAATATTGGAGAACATTAAAAAAAAAAATTGTGCAATTTCTCTAAGATCTGGCATTTGGTAGATAACAAATAATTATGAAGACAAGCAAGCATTCTGAAATTCAGGCACTTAGCACTGTCAGTGTCTTCGAATGTGCTCTTATTACATATGTATCTTAAGCTGCTCGCTTGCTTATTTACGTATGACATGCTCTAGCTACTATGTGTTTCTCCTTAATACTTGTTATTAATATCCTCAGAGACGTTGGGCCTTTCCCAGATGGTCTCCTCCTTCATTCTTACTTGGGTTCTGCAGAGATGGTTTCTGAATTTGTCAAATCTGGTGCTTATTTTTCATTGTCTGGATTCATCATGACCATGAAATTGCAGAAGGCCAAGAAAATGCTAAAGACAGTTAGTTGATCTGGTTTATTGTTCTATTCATTTGTAATCATGTGACAAGGTATAAGTGTACAATCTTCTTACTTCTGAAATTCCTGCAGATACCTTCAGAAAGGATATTATTGGAGTCAGATGCGCCGGATGCATTGCCAAATTCAGAGTTAAGCTCTTTATTTTTGGTCGATGAAGATCCTTCCCTCCCTCAAGAATTTTTTGCTCAAGGGAGAAATTCTGCTTCAAATACGAGCATTCCGTCTGATAATCGATCTCTTACATCAAGAGAGGTGTCTTCATTGCCCAAAGATATGCTTAATCATCCGGCAAACATTCATAATGTACGCTTTCTCCTTCAACTTAAGGGTATCCTTTTCCGTGTAATTGTAGACTGCTTACATCTTTATTCTAATCTCTTAGTTTTCAGCCCATTTTCTTATAGGAAATAAAAAAGAAATCAAATTATAGAGGAAATAGTTTAAGATAACAATTATTATGGTACAATGCCTTCTACTTACTGCATTTCTTTCTTAGGCTTATAGATTCTTGCTTTGTTTTCTTTAGTACAAAAAAAAGTCTCTCCCCCCCCCCCCAGGAAAAGAGACCAAGTAATTTAACTTTGTAAAGGAAATCCATGTATTAGATACTTTATAAAAACGATACTAGTCTAGTTGTAAATAAATGTGATGCTCATAGCTTAATTAGTTACTATCTGGTTCATGTATGATAAATGAAGCATGAGAGATCATCATGTTATTTTGGTTGAGTTCTAATTTCCAACAGCACTGATATGTTGTGAGTCATGAGAGGAATACTTTGAAGATGAAACCTCAATGAGTTGAGGAGTCATCGATAGATTTGGAGCCATGACAGGAATACTTTGAAGATGAAGCCTCAATGAGTTGAGGGAGTCATTGATAGATTTGGTTATCGAATCTAATACTGGTAGTTAAATACTTAAATTTGCTCGAAATGTCATCATTTACTTTCTGACTACATCTTGTTGTATATTCAACTTTTATCCCTGTATGCATTATATATATCCTATTTCCGTAGAAAATATGTTGAGGTACGCAGTGCACACTGTTTGTAGAATTAAGAATCTTGTTTTTAACTTCAGGTGCGTGATTATGTTGCAAATTTGCTGGAAATTAGTAAAGAGGAACTTGCAGAGATAAGCTGCAGAAATGCAGTACAATTGTTTTCTTACCAAGGTTCAAAAGTTGCCTTAGGATGATCTTTTAATGTCTTTAATCTTTCTATGGATTAGGAACATGCTTTCGTACCTTTTCTGTATCTTGAAAATGTGAAAATGCAGAAATGTTTATAGAAAAACTTTAAATAAACTTGTATGAGATGTTTTTTTTATTATTTCTATGATTTGAATTTATTTATTTTTTAATTCTGGTCTATTAAATTGTTGATAAACAATTGTTTTTTAATTTAAAATCGTGGACATTATTATTCTGTTGTATTTGTTTTTTGAGTACTAAAGTTAAAATTATTTGTGTAAATGCATCTTATTAACAAATCATTTCAAAAATATCAATTTAGCTTTTAATAACTCTATATGAATCATAGATCTACTTTCTTTGTTCTCGTTTTAAGGATGTTTAAAGCTAAATTTGTTCGTATACTTTTACGTGTTGTAATTCGAGTTATGTACATTTTTAGATGAGATTATATATTGTATCGTGATACGGATTATTTTTCGTGTCTTATTTTATCTCACGGGTTTGTGTTGTATAATTGAATGTCTTAAAGCTTTTCAGGTTTTGTATAAGAGGTAGTAATTGCATTATATACTTCATGCTAGAGGGAGTTGCATTATTTTATGCCGTCCCTGGAATTGCAGAAAGTTTCCCTTCTGGCAAAAAGCTTATAAATATATGGGAAACAGAAAAAGGAAATGGAAACCTCAGGGTGAATCCGACACTATTAATGGTTCTTTGACCTTCGGAGATGCAGCGGCAATATGTTCTTCGTCCGAAGCAAATCCGTTGGAAAACTGTTGCGCTTCCTGCAACATTTTTTCCCCATTGCTTCCAACCATGACAACATCCCCGAAATGGACATGACGTTGATCACCATCAGGTGTTCCTGGTGGAGAGCCTCCATTTTCGGACGAATGCATCGATCTTCTCGCATGTCCTTCAGAAGCATAAGACTTTTTCTTCGTTACGCTGCCATGTTCCCCTTGAACATGTCCTCCATTGCTTGCACAAAAGCAATGTGCAATGCACCTGTATATGTAAGTAGCAATCCAAAAGATCCACGGAATGCCTACAAGAACGATACCGACAATCGAATACCAGGGCATGGATTGCTCCTCGGGTTGGAACATATAAAGGCATAAGAAGACGCCCCCCGTGACGATGCTGACGAAGAAAATGGCCAAGACGACGTAGATTCTGAAATCTCCTTTTACTGTTTCTTGCATTTGAATGTTGCAAGAGATACAAATATCTATCGGAAGATAAATTTATCTTTTTCTCCGTAAATTATTAGAGCTGAAGAAAAGAGGTAAAAGTGTTGGGATCCCATGAAAGTTGAGGGAATGAAAAGAAATAGCAATGGAAGGCAAGTGGTTTGTTTTTGTTAGTGTTGTTGGACGTTTTGCCAGTGGTTTTGGTAAAACAAGCAAACCAGCAAAACAAACGCATTATATGGGAGGCAAACTAGAAAGGCCGAAAATAAAAACTGCCGTGGACACAAGGATGCCAACTCCTCCAACTCATCAAGTTATAGCATCGTTCGATCTGGATACTTTGGTCCTTTATACTATAGAGTTGAAAACGTTGTACTAATTTTATCATATTAACAAGAAATTTTATCTGAAAATTCATCTAAAAAAGGATGAACGTAGAAATATGATTTTCACTCTTGTAAGGAACTGATGGGACACTAGAAATTAAAATTTTCCTAAACAAAAAGATAAAAATGAAAGAGTAGAATAATTAAAACTAATAGAAACTTTCTACGAAGAACATAAAAAAAATTATTTGCTTTATTTAATTATTATTATATGTTATATTATGATACTACAGACAGTAGTTGTAGTTCTGAAAATAATTCTGAAGAAAGAGAAGTTATAAATGCTTTAGATACATCTGATGCAGATAAAGATTATTCAGAACTTACAAAAGCTAACCAGCTAGATCCGAATCTAAAAGGAAAAAAAATGTATATCATGATCTTTCTAGAGATGACTATTTAAGCTCTTCTAATCGAAATAACAAACAAGACCATAATACTAATAGAATAATAGAAGAACAGGTAGAAAACATCTACACTAATGAAGTTAAAACTGAACAAACATTAATAAACCATAAATCTCATACCCAATAAGATGAATTAATTATCTACTGAAAGAGAATGAAAATAAAAAACGATTTATCACAAGGCTTAAAGGAATAGAGAAAATGGTAATTTTAAAATAGCTTATTTATTTAGGGGTAAATTTGTCCAGATGAACTAGAACTGTTACATACCTAAGTTAGATGAGGGAATGAGATTCTAGAAATCTAAACCAAAAAAGCTATTGTAGGTAATGTCTGGGATTTTCGTAAAAAGATTATTTCTCTTTGTAATGATCATTTTCTTAATACAAATGCTCCCAATAGGATATTATATTGATTATTAACAATTCGAAAGAATTTTTAACTATTAAGCCTTAAATCAATAAATAAATTGTTTTTGATATTATATTTTATATGCATTCAACAAAGGAATTGTTCTTATTGATTTGAGGTAAATACAAGGTAATATATGTTCAAATATATTACATTCAAGGCTCATACCTCTACACTAAAACCCGAGACTCAAAGAATAACAACAATAATTTTTATTTGAATCCTAAAATTTATACGACCTGTATCAAATAATTTAGATTGAGAATTAGAGTATCATACATTAAAAGAGCTAATGTTCAATCAAACAACTCAAACAAGTATCATCTTATCCAAATCTATGCGTAAAGATTTCCTGCTGGAAAATTACCAGATGCATAGGTTTCAACGGCAGGACAGACATGAAAACAACTTGGAAATAAAAGATTTGCGTTTTGGCACCAATTCAACATTCCCAGATTCATTGTTCCCTTCCGGTTCATTTTCCTTTCGGCATTCATCACAGAACTAGTCGAAAGCACCATGCACATACTCTGCAGCCTCTGCAACTGTCATGTTCTCCACAAGTTTGTGTGGATAAATGTCACTTTTATGGTCTCCCTTCAACACTGCTGCCATTTGCACCAATTCTTCTTGAAAATCGCTCAGTTTCGCCGTCTCTTTCGCCTTGCTATGTCTCGTCTTCACCGGCTCGGGTAATGTAACTGTGATGCATAGCGGATTCAGGTCATCATCATCAATCCATGAGTTCTATAATACATGTTTGATTTAAATAGTGACAAAATCTTGTAGTCGCATTAGCTTCGACTAGTCAGAAGTCTAGTCGGGACAGCGTTTCTTACCGGGACAATCTGTTCTTGGGTTCTTCCTGGTTATAACACCTTCAAAAGTACCAGCCCAAGCATCACGCTTCGTGAGGAACTCTTTTAGATCGAATATCTTTTGAAAGTTGCCGGAATCGATGAATGCTCGAACTGCGAAGTAGGGTACGGCCCTGAAGGTCCATGTATCACTGCAGATTCCATTAACAAAACAGTTACTGTATGATCCCCATAAGTCACAAGTTTAAGCAACAACATCAAAGGAGACTGAACTTACATGTTCCTGGTTCAATCCAGGGAGAAATAAAAAATGTAGGAACTCTAACACCGAGCCGATCAAACTTGAAATAATACGGTTCGGGACCGACGATTCCATCAGGGCTCGGGACACGAGTTGTAGGAGTTGGAACATGGTCGTAAAATCCGCCATGTTCATCGTATGCGATTACCAACAACATTTCATTCCATTGGGGGCTAGCTCTTAGTGCCTCGTACACTTCCTTGATAAACTTTTGACCTTCTGAGACATCGTGGGATGGATGGTCTTCGTTCGCCGGCAACGACAAGAGGTCGAAGTATCGTTGTTCGATCACGACATAGTTCGGGAGCTTCCCTTGTTCACAATGCTTCTTGAAGTGCAGATCGAATTGATGGAAGTTTTTTAAGTACTTCAATTGTCTAAGGTTCCTGGTAACATGGCAGGGGAGCTTCCTTAAATCTTTACATATGCACTTTAGACGGAGCATCAAATAATAAAAGCTAATTAAGATAATGTAAATCTTGATCCAAGGGTTAGCTTAAAACAATAATTAAGCAAGTCATGTTAGGTTGGAGCATTTCTAGCAGAAGTGAGCAACTTTTCAATTCAGTCATTGATGGTGTAATTACCAAGGTGATACTGTAACTAGGATCATCTTATTGCTCTACTTTAGAGTTACCATTAATAATTATTAATTATCCAACATTAAAGATCACTGTGTTTCATTTTATTAAAAATCAAATAATGTATTTTTTGAAATAATTATTAATTATTTCAATTCTATTTTTAACAATATAGTAATAGTTATCTATAATATATAATTGAACTGATGCCGATGGAATATTGAATTCAATAAAGTGGCCTCAGTTATTAAAGGAAGTGTTGTTCTCGTTAGAGATTTTGAGTTCAAGCAATTGCATCTGTGGGTGTATATGTTGTCAGTAGTTAAATTAAGAACATGAACAAATATTACCTTATAATTATCTTAGACTATTTAAAAAAGTTGGTGAAATATTAACTCAATTAAAAAAATAAAGATAAAATATATTGATGGTTCCTCAATTATATGATATTATTTTATTCCTTGACTATTAAAAATTACAAAATGGTTCCTCGACTATAGGGAGTTACTTTGTTGACTCCCTCGACTATTAAAAGTTACAAAATGGTCACTTGATTATTCATTATGTTCCAAATCAATTCTTTTTCATTAAAAAAATTTACGGTCATATGAGTTGGACGTTAATACTATGACTGAGATATTATAGTCGTTTGAGATTATGATATCAAATTTTATCATATCTCACTAAGTAGATTAACGTATAACTTAAATAATCATCATTTTTTACAAAAAGAAAAAATTGACGAGTTTGAAACATAATGAATAGTTAGTGATCATTTTGTAAACTTTAATAGTCAAGAGACTAAAAAGCAACTCCATATAGTCATAAGAACATTTTGTAACTTTTAATAGTCGAGTAATAAAATAATACCCTATAGTTAAGGGATCATTTATGTACTTTACCCTAAAAATAAATAAAATGTCTTTATTTTAAAAGACATCTTTTACTAATTATTTTGAAAAGATACTTAATATTATTATAACATTATTTTTTGTGTTCTCATATTTTTATATAATCTTTAAATTAAATGATTAAAGATTACTACTTGAAAATCAAACAAAACAATTAATAAATCATACGTAAATTCTCTACTACTCTACATGTTCATTTGGCTATTGTTTTTTATACTAAAAACTTTTACATAAAATATTAGTTTGTAAAATGAGTATTAGCTTTAAACTAAATAAGATTAAATTTTATCACATACGATATGGATAAATAGAAATGTTTTATGTGTAAAATATATAGTAATTATTTTAACAAGTAATTATTGGTGGAATACTAATTTTTTTATTAATCTTTTGATCATATGTTTAATTATTAAATAGGGTTCTAGTCATTTACTTTAAAGATTATGTAAAATTGTAAAAACAAATCATAATAATACTAAATAAGGATCAGGAAAAATTAACGCAAAAAATAATAGTACCAAATAAATATAAAAATTATAAATCTCAAACTCAGTTATTTTTTTTAACTATATTTACTTACCTGTAGAACAAGGTCGATGGAGGGCACTGTTTTAAAACCGGACCGGACCGGCCGGTTCAATCGGTTCAATCAGTTCAACCGAGAACCGTTGCCTAGTCTGGTTCAATCTACACCGGTTTAACCGCTACTAGTGAACCGGCCAGAACCGCTGAACCGTTTGAACCGGACCTGCTGAAAACCGGAAAAAATCAGAAAAAACCGCCAATTTTATTTTTTATTTTTAAAAATTAAACCAAACGACGCCGTTTGTTAAACGAGCCAAGTCGAACTCGAGTATTGCTGAGCTCGACTCGAACTTGAAAACTTTAAAAGTAAGCTCAACTCGACTCAAACTCACGAGCTAAAAATTATCAAGTTCAACTCAAACTCGAAATATATTATTAAAACTTGAACTCAAAAAGGCTTACTAAAAAAAAAATTAGAAGCTCGATTGAAGCCTAAAATTCGAGCTTGATTGAAGTGAAAGAATAGTTCACTCAATGCTCACCAAAAGGCTCCATGATTTTGAATGTCAAATTACCTCTATTATTTATAGAAGTTAGTTGGGATGCTCTTCTATATTTCTTAGCCATGTGTGATTGTTTTGTTCTCATATTTGTACTCTTTAGACATTTGGGATACTCTTCTATGTTTCTTAGCCATGCGAGATTGTTTTAAAAAAAAATTAAACCAAACAATATCATTTTTTTATGATTTTTTTAGCCCCAATTTTTTTTAAAATTATAGTTATATAATTATATTTATTATTTAATATGTTTTACCTTAAATATTATGTTGTAGTTAATTTGAATCATTTTGTTTCACTTGATTTTATGGTTTTTAACTTATATATGTTATGATTTGCTTTGAATATGACTTGTGATATAAAAAATTATTTTTTATTAAATATTTTTGATATTTTTATTTAATTTTTAAATAATTATGACGTAGTCCAGTTCTTCCGACCGGTCGGACCAATTCAACCGGTTGAACTAGTGAACCGGTAGCATGGCCGGTTCACTAACTGATCCGGTTCTGAAAACCATAACGGAGGGTACTGATAATATATCCCAAAACTAAAACCACTATCATCCAATGACTCAAATATTGTCTTTTGAGGGAACCCTTCGATGAGTTTCATTGTGTCATTGCTCGTGAGTCCATGCGACGTAGCCGAGTAAACAAACAGCCGGTTTGGTTGCGTCGAAGCTGGCATCGATGCGAACCACCGGTCACATACAGCAAAGTTCGACGCCAGCTCTTTGAAAACAGGCACTGCATCGGGTGAAAACCCTTTCATCACTGCCTTTGCCATCCCCTTTTCCATGCCTTCGGCATTTTGAACGAAGCCATTCATAGTCGGTTCATGGGGAGCGTTAGCGTCATCGGAGGTCCAAGGCAGACCGAAGACTTGCTCATAAATGGCTTGGATCGAGTGACCGGGGTTAGGGTCGACGTAATCGGAGTTGTCTTTGAAGAAGATCAACGGTGAGTTGGGATCATATGTGGAAATCGGGTTGGATTCGGAGCCCCTTACGCCATCGATTTTGGGGTTGAGGGACTTGAACCAGCCTAGGATGTGATCGAATGAGCGGTTTTCTTGGACCAATACAACTACGGTTTTGATGGGATATGAGGAGGAGCCACTGCTGCTTTCGGAAACCATTGTTTAGTTTTGATGGGATATATATTTGATGGAGTTTTAGAGATGGAAGAAACCCTAATAATATCACCGATTCATTCGGTTCGAGAGACACATATGTACAGTTTAATATAACTGATTCATACAAATATTTTTAATATAAAATAACTTTAAAATTCCTTTCTTGATATATGTGTGTGTGTGTGTGAAGTTGTAGAAAACGTGACATTTGAGTTACTACATGTGGTAGATATGTGATTGAGTGCATAAAATAATGCTTTTTGTTTCTTGTTGAGAATGACGAATGATTTTTATTAGATATAGTTGATAATGGAGAAGAATAGTTGCGTAAGAAGAGAGAACAAATGTGTTGGTTAAACTGATGTTATTTGGTTTTTGGGAGAGGCCCTTCATTTCTTCTTATCGGCATCCTGTAATGAATGTGTCGCATACTTCTTTCGGTTGGGCCTAGAACTAGGTTTCGACTTGAATATTTGGGTTAGAATCGCCATCGATCATTTTAAAATGATATTTAGGTAGATCGGACACCATCTTACATGATATGCGTTTTATCAGAAACGTGTCGGGTTCGGGAGTCGGTTATGGTCAAGGAAGGATTAGAACCCTTGAACCACCCTTTCGGTACCAAATAATCTGTCGGTTGTCTTAATTGCGAAAATTTAAGATTTAAATATTAAAAAAATCGATTCAAATTAATTACCTCTGATTAATTTGAACGAAGACCCTTAAAAGAGATAGAAAAGTTAGATTAAAAACATAATAAATAAATCGATAAAAGAAAAAAATGAAAATAATAAAATAATAAATTTAAGGAAAATAAGGAGAAAAATTTAAAAATAATAATAATAATAAATAAATAAATGATAAAACAAATGAATATATATATATATACTAGTGTTAAATTAAATGAAGCAAAAAGGAGAAAAAGCACCTATATATATCTAATAAAAAAATAAATAATATTTAAATAAATAAAATAAAGAAGAAAAAAAACACGAAAGGACTAAATTGAAAGAATAATAACTTGGGAGTATAATTTAAAAAACAATTGGGATAAAAATTGAATTTAGGGATCCAAAAAGGGTTCATAAAAAACTCAAGGGATTAAAATGTAATTTACCCCTTTTACATTGAAAATGTGCAGATCTTGCGGTCGGGTCGGGCCGAAATGCGGTTCGATCTATGGATTGGTATATAACCCAAAAACTCTTTCCAAAACGCCCCATTCGTCACCATTTCTCTCCTCTCCTCTCCTCAAAACAACAAAGCGTCGAATGCTCTCAACTACCCTCGCCTGGGCGATATCCGGCCACTGCCCGGTGGTCCCCTACTGTTTCGATCGTCGCTCCAGCCGCCACTGCCGGCGGCCAGAAAAAACCAAAATCTCCTAAAAGATTCCTCTTGACACCGTGACCCCAAAACCAACCCTCAAACTCCCAAAAAACCCCGTACTCGGCGTAGATCTAACATGCAAGCCTCCGGTTTTCACCTTTTTCGTAGGTGACATTTTGACTTCCGGCATGGTTGTTGATGATATTTGGTTTTGCTCACTGTTTTTTTGTGTTGTTGTGATGTGTGTTTTTGGTTCTCTGTTCAGTTGTTGATTTATGCCTCGGTTATTGGCTTTTTGATGCTCTGTTTGTTTCGATCTTGCTGTTGGTTTTCTCTGTTGATGCTTGGTTTTTCCATTGGTTCTGTGGTTGTGTTCTCCTCGGTGTAGATGCTGGTGGGATATTTATACACACCACCGACGTTCGTTATCTCCGATTATTATGTTAACGTGCTCGCCGTTGGCAGGGTATTTCGGGATGGGTCAGTCCCAATTTTCCCGGCTGGAAATCTCGGTGACGTTGAACCTCCTGTTAGGCACCCCTGGTGAGATCTGGATCGTTAGATCGAAGGGGTAGATCTAACGGCTCTAGACTGGCTGCGCGTTTGACTTTGGAGATGGAACCCTAATTTGCCTTTGGGCCCAACTGGGTCTGCTGGGTCAGGCTACCCGATTGGGCCTGCTGGACTTGGACCCTAGACCTGGACAGAAAAAATAAAAAATAAAAAATAAGGAATAAAAAAATAATAATAATAGAAATAATAATAAATAATAACAAAAAATATTTTCAAAAAACATATAATATATAAATTTCCAAAATGTTTTAAAACATTTATATCATATATGTTTTCAAAAATGTTTTAAAAAAATTATATAATATATATATTTGTAAAAATGTTTTAAAAAAATATATATTATATATTTTCAAAATGTTTTTTAAAAACTATATAATATATAAAGGTTTTCAAAATGTTTTTTAAAATCTATATAATATATAAAGGTTTTCAAAATGTTTTCAAAACTATATATTATATAAGTTTCAAAAATATTTTAAAAAACTTTATATTATATAAGTTTTCAAAATGATTTAAAAAACTATATATTATATATATTTTCTAAAATATTTTAAAAACTATATATTATATAAGTTTTCAAAAATGTTTTAAAAACTATATATTATATATATTTTCAAAATGTTTTTAAAAACTATATATTATATACGTATTTTCAAAAACCATTTGCAAACTATGATATTATATATATGGACGAAAATGAGTGTCTACAGCTGCCCCTCTCTGTCCTTTTTCGTGGAACGAAAAATAGGACAAAGATAAAATGACAATAATTTTTGTTCGGTGGAGTTGAAAATTGACTATGATATTTCAATTAAGAATAACTCCCTATCGAATTGAGTTACGGATGGCTCCTCCGTCGCGAAGTCGAGTCCATCTTGAAATGATATGGAACTGAAGCCGTAGTTCATAATTTGAATCGGAATGTGGCTTCTCGTTGTCGTCTGCTTCAGTCTTCTTCTCGGTTTAAAGACATTGGTTTAAAAATTCGACTAAAAAGTAATTCTTTGACTCCACCATGTGGTTGATTGAGCTGAACGAAATCGAACTCGAAGGTATTTGTTGACAGATAGCCCTTCTTGCCTTTAACTATGCTGTAAATGATGTGCCTTGGAGCTGAGTGTAATCGAACCCGAAGGTCTTTGGCAGATAACCCTTCTAGCCTTGAGTTATGCTGCAAATGATGTGCCTCTGAGCTGAGTGTAATCGAACTCGAAGGCCTTTGGCAGATAGCTGTTCTTACCTTGAGTTATGTTGCAAATAATGTGCCTTTGAGCAAAGTGTAATCGAACTCGAAGGTCTTTGGCAGATAACCCTTCTAGCCTTGAGTTATGTTGTAAATGATGCACCTTTGAGCTGAGCGTAGTCGAACTCGAAGGTCTTTTGTTGGCAAATAGCCCTTCTTTCCTTGAGCTATATTGTAAATGATGTGCCTTGGAGCTGAGCGTAGTTGAACTCGAAGGTCTTTTATTGGCAGATAACTCTTCTAGCCTTGAGTTATACTGCAAATGATGTGCCTTGGAGCTGAGCGTAGTCGAACTCGAAGGTCTTTTGTTAGCAGATAGCCCTTCTCGCCTTGAGCTATGCTGCAAATGTTGTGCCTTTGAGCTGAGTGTAATCAAACTCGAAGGTTTTTTGCTGGCAGATAACCCTTCTAGCCTTGAGTTATATTGCAAATGATGTGCCTTAGAGCTGAGCGTAGTCGAACTCGAAGGTCTTTTGTTGGAAGAATAACCCTTCTTTCCTTGAGCTATGTTACAAATGATGTGCCTTGGAGCTGAGCGTAGTTGAACTCGAAGGTCATTTGTTGGCAGATAACCCTTCTAGCCTTGAGTTATACTACAAATGATGTGCCTTGGAGCTGAGCGTAGTCGAACTCGAAGGTCTTTTGTTGGCAGATAACCCTTCTAGCCTTGAGTTATGCTGTAAATGATGTGCTTTGGAACTGAGCGGAGTCGAACTCGAAGATCTTTTATTGGCAAATAGCACTTCTTGCCTTGAGCTATGTTGCAAATGATGTGCCTTGGAGCTGAGCGTAGTCGAACTCGAAGGTCTTTTATTAGCAGATAAGCCTTCTAGACTTGAGTTGTGCTGTAAAAGTTATGCCTTTGAGCTGAGCGTAGTCAAACTCGAAGGTCTTTTGTTGGCAAATAGCCCTTCTTGCCTTGAGCTATACTGCAAATGATGTGCCTTGGAGCTGAGTGTAGTCAAACTCGAAGGTCTTTGGTTGGCAGATAACCCTTCTGGCCTTGTGTTATGCTACAAATGATATGCCTTTGAGCTGTTCGTATTCGAACTCGAAGGTCTTTTATTGGCAAATAGCCCTTCTTGCCTTGAGCTATGCTGCAAATGATGTGCCTTGGAGATGAGCATATTCGAACTCGAAGGTCTTTGGTTGGTAGATAACCATTCTAGCCTTGAGTTATGCTGCAAATGATATGCCTTGGAGCTTAGTGTAATTGAACTCGAATGTCTTTTGGTGGCAAATAGCCCTTCTTGCCTTGAGCTATGCTGCAAATGATGTGCCTTTGAGCTGAGCGTAGTCGAACTCGAAGGTCTTTTGGTGGCAGATAACCCTTCTTGCCTTGAGTTATGCTGCAAATGATGTGCCTTTGAGCTGAGTGTAATCGAACTCGAAGGTCTTGGCTGACAGATAACCCTTCTCGCCTTGAGTTATGCTGATGATAGTTTCTAAAAAAATGGCTTCCCTTCACGGGTCTAAGCCGGTCATAATTCTTCAAGTGGTTCCTTTGAGAGGGTTTGAACCAAGTAATATGATTTTTGGATGAATCCCCTTCACGGGAAAGCCCACTGATAAATTCTGTCAGCCGGATATCTTCCGTCGTGGAATTGAAATCTTGCTTGAAAATGTTAAATGGAAACCTGCTACTCGTTATTGAGTTAAGATGAGCTGGATTCGTTCTGAATTGGCTCTCGAACCCATCTGAAATTGATTCTAAGATCTTTAGATATGTCAAGTCAGTTGAGGTGTAGCTTCTCACTGTTGAGTCAAGCAACCTCCATTGATCTTTAAAAGAGCTTTCGAATCGAGTATCTTTCATCATGAAGTCAAAACTTGACTCTGAAAGCTACAAAAAATTATGCAT